TTTATTTATTTATTTATTTATTTATTTATTTATTTATTTATTTATTTATTTATTTATTTATTTATTTATTTATTTATTTATTTATTTATTTATTTATTTTAAAGTGTGTCAAAATGTCACAAAGAGGCTCCATATTCACAGTACTTACAATCAAAGCACCATGGACACCACTACCCCTTAAATTAGGAGCATATTCAGCAAGATCCACTGCTCTCAACCATTCCATTACCCGGTGGTTGGACCACTGCACCACCTCTGATGGGGAGGGCTGCTTCTGGAGACATGATCACAAACACTGATTTGACTCAATCTTTTTTAGTTGCACTTGCACATCTCTGATCTTGTCCTTAATCTGCCAGAAAAGTAAATGATAAATAAATACAACCCTTTACGTTCTATCTAGGTTTTATCCCAGCAACTCAATAACAAGATGAAAAGTGAAAAAAACTCTGCTGCCATCTTGTGGATTAATTGTGTCACAACACCAGTTGTGCATGTTGACATGTCTAAGGTATGTATTTGTGTTTGTTTCCTCCCTCGAGGAGGTCTACCTCTTCGCCAGGCCTGCGTCGAAGGCAGTTTGGGTTGAACTTGTTGGCATGAAGGACATGAATGGCACATTTAATACTGAGGTGATGAAGCTGACTAGTGACCTTTAGAGTCAAGAGATCATTCTGAAAGAGCAGGAAAAAAAGGATATCAGTTATATTGTGAAAAAAAAGCAATAGCACAACAATAGTTTACTATAATTGATCCTTCCGTATGTGACGGAACAAGCCTTACCACAGTGAGATACTGTATCATTCGACCATCAACCCGAGCTTCATGGAATTGATCCTTATACTGAGGCAAGCCAATGTCATCCAGCCAGCCTGCACAAGAGCAAATATGATTTAAAAGGACTTCACACTCTAAACTTAGCATCAACACATGTTCTCTGTGACTTATTTTTATGTCAACAGCATGAGAAACCCTTTCCTATAATTACAAATGAGACCCAGATGAGATCAGACATTTTAAGAAATATTTCATGCGAATAAATCCTTACGGGTGACCCAGATGTGGTCCAGTTCTGAAGACTTCTCGATTACTTTGGTGGTGAATGCTTTGAGACCCAGTTGCAGCTTCTTCCTGTGCAGTGGATGCTTCATGCCCATTTCCTAAGTGAAAAAAAAAAAAAAAAAAGCTATTTTAGGGTCAAATTGACATTTTTTTGCCAGCACATATAACAGAGACTAATTTCATAAAATTTCATCGTAGCTTATTGTAACGTGTCCTACATTTACATTATTTTATCTGTCTTTAACTGCTGTTTTTTTTACCTTTTCGAAGTCCTGCAGTGTGGCAGAAAGGAGTGTTTGTCCATTTTCAACCCATTGTCTGGTGAGACTGATATATTGGCCGAGTCCATAGTCCTCTAGCCAGCTACACACCTGCTCCTTGGACCACTGGCTGAATGGAATATTCATGTCACTGGAAGCATCAGGGGAAAAAATGACAGAAAACAGAATAAATAATTCATTAATCTATCATTTAAACAAATGTATAAAACCATGCCGCATTATTTAAAAAATTAGAGCAGTAAATTTGCAACAGGGGGATTAAGTAGGCGAGAAACAGCACAATAAACTTACCATGCAGAGTCAGATTCAGGGGTTCGGGTGAGTCTGGGGCCAGCTGTTGCACGGAGACCTCCCCTTCTAAACTGTCCGGCATCCGGATCTGCTGCCTGAAAGCCTCCAGACTGGGTTCTTCGAAGTCTGTGTAGATATGGAGGAACTCTGTCGATAAAACTGCTAGAAACTACTTTAATTCTGAATGAAAATTATCTAAAATATAAATTTTGAACAATACTAAACTTAGTGCGCTCATTTTGTTTATTTTTTTGTTGATGGTCTCTGTTCACAATATGCATTGTTGGTGTTTGTCTACTCACTTTCCCCAGAGTCTCTTAAAGCTCCTGTTATTCTTCATGAATTCTGGAGAGCCCACTGCTCGCTGGCCAGCCTGTGTTTGGGCCTCACAATGAACAGGGGAATTATCACTGGATATGCTGTCATCAGCTCTCTCCAATTTTCCTACACACGATTGAAAATCCACAGTCAGTCACGGAGGACAAATCTGATTCAGATTGTTTGATTATACTTTAGAGGGCCAGATACATTGAGCACCATTTCAGAAACATGTTTATCTAGCTGAAAATAGCATCTCACTCATAGTAATTTGAGCAGACAAAGCCCCACTGTAATCGTGCCAAATAACACATTTCTGATTGATGCCTTCTGTTAAAAGATTTAACTGTTTCCTGTTGTTGATTGAGTGCAAAATACAAAATCTCAACCATGACATTGATTAAGTAAAGAGCCCTATTCATTTATCTATGTATTTATGTATTATTTTACCTCCACTCATTTAGCATAACAGACATCAAGAGTAGAGAAAGTTGAGTGACTTTTCACAGTGCTCACGTTCAGTAAATGGAAGTAGATCACGGACCATTAAGTCTAGCAAATAATTCACAAGTTAATGCTCCATGAAGGAGTCTGCTTGGCTTCATCTTACAAGGTGTGATCCTCTCGATAAAGTCTGAAGTCAGAGCTGCAGCTGAGAGAAACCAGGGTGGGGCTCCATTTAAAATTGGTCAGCCACAATGAGGAAGGGTGGAGCTGAGATGAATTTGGACAATCAGGGCGTGGAAAGCCTATCCCATGAGCCATCTGCTATGTCGAGAGACTCTGCAATTAGCTGTGATCAAACGTGCAGTGGTCGTATGCTCAAAAGAAGGCGGTTATTGCTCCAAATATGAGCCTTGCCTGCTGTCAGCTGACAGATCCTACCGTATACCACAGCACACTAACCATAATATTGTAAATAACTACATTTAATTGTAGATTTACTTTGGCTGAAGTCTCCGTCTTCACTCCCATCTGGAGACCTTTGGCTCTGGATTTCAGTAGCACTATCTGCGCTTCCATTTTCTTCAGACAAAGTGGAATTCACCGGAAGAGTTTGACTTCTGCTGTCACACAGTTCACTCTGAAAAAGAATCAAACATTGTGACTTATGTGCACAAATGTCCAAAAATGTACAACCAAATGGTTTTTGGGAAATGTTGATTCTCAAATATTTATCTTCTTCTAAGGTACAGTGTAATAACTTTCAAACAGAATAAAACATATGCGTGAAAATATTTGGCTCAACATCAAGGACTAAATTCTTTGTATGAATAGTGTATAAATACCTTTGCTGAATGGGTTGTTATGTCGTTCATGCTACTTGATAAAATGTTTGGCTCTGTTCTGCAAAGGTAAATTCACAATAAAATCAATAAAATCCAACAAAGTATGATAAATTCAGTTGCTGATAAAAAAACTGCTTCAGTACCTGGAGTCACTGTCTTTCTGGACGGACAGAAGAGAAACTTTTGGTGAAGAAGAACTGTTTGTTGAAACCTGAGAAGTGTGAGAAAAACATGAATGTTAGAATTTCATTCCAATGAAATGTTTGATACTAGTTTTTTGCAAAAATGGAACGGATGTCATTTTCACTTACGTCAGACCTCACATCATCAGATTTTGCACTAGCGGAGTCTGTATTCTTCATCACCCCCTGCTCACCTTCTTCACTGCTGCTTGACTGAGTCCGACTATTTGACAGAGAACGAACAGCAGATGGAGCTGCAGGAAAGAGGAAAAGGCTTTTGTGTCCTTTGCAGATGGAGGTATGAAGGATTATCCTTAAATGTTGCTTTTTACATAAATATCTTTTTAGGATAAGACCTGATTACCTTGCCTTGAGGTATGAGTGACCTCTCTGAACTGTCTGCACTGATTCAGAAGCAGAGTGAGCTCCTCTATTTGCCGGTCCTGCAAGAAACAGGGCAGGGGGGTTAAGGTCAACAAAACACTATTAAGATATTTATCAAAGAGTTTAAAAAAACATCTATATATGCTACTTGTTTTACTATAACTGACTATTCCTTATACACAGCTCAGACATTCTCATTCCAACATATGGTCTTTACATAAAAGTTTTGGATAGGGAGGGGACTGAGACAAGCCTAGTTGGAGAGCTTAGTTGTGGTAACCAGCTGCATGGAGTGTGTGTTTTTTGAAGTGGTGCCCATGCCTGTTTTTGCCATGCTTGTCTTAATGCAGCTCCCCCCAAAATTAGGCCTGGCAGAGTGAGGCCGGCTTAAGTGTGGCTTTGCCTGAAATGGCTCGCTTTGGGGTGTGTGTATTTGTGTGTCCTTATTAGTGTGCCACATGTAGGCCCGTGTCTGTAAGTCTTTAAAGTCGAAGACACCATGTGGGGGGAGAATACAAAAGGCCCTCTGTGCTATAAATGGTCAGAGGGCGGCGCCTCTGAGAAGTGAAGAAATTATTGAAAAAGCCTTTTAAAACGTCCACCCTCTGAACATTTAAGCTCACTAATGGCAGTTTGTCCATCTACAGGCCAGGTTTAAACACTAAAGTATTAACACAGCACTTTGCATGATCTTTACTGCCTCATCACAAACAGCTGGTTTAAACAGAGAGGAACAGAAGAGGTTTTCAAATATAAGCGACTTACCTTTTCATCGTTGGCAGCTGCCAGTGATTTAATTCCACTCTTAAGTTTTTGCAGCTCTTGATCTATAAGGAGAAATCCTCTCTGGTTATTGATTTGGATGAGCTGCTTTGAGTAAGCTTCAGTTATTATTGTTACATTGTAAAGCACAAATACATGTTAGCATGTTGTAGTTTTATTTCTCATAATGATGTCATCTAAACTGAAGATTTTTGTTACATTAGTTTGATCTTTTCAAACCGTTATTTAGATATTTTGTCACTGACAGCTCTTCCACAGTTCAGATCCCTGGAAACTTTTCACCAGGACCATTTCAGGCCTACAGACAACCTTTTTACATAATTATTGTAGATGTTATGGACACATAGATAAATGAAAAAAATATATATATATTTATATATTCGATATGGGAAACAAAGAAGGCAAAAGATAAAAAAAAAGATTTAATCAAATAACGTTTTTATCTGATGATTGTCAAAGCTGCCCTCAGAGCAAAACCAATTGAAGGATGAGAAGGAAAAGGGCATGTCTATGGAAAAGAAATAAATGCAAGATCAAAATGAGACAAGACCCATGGGTTGGCTGTGATTCTTATTAAGTTTTGCAAAGCCTTACATTTTGTGTTTGGCTTCTTCTCTCTTCTCTACGTGAGAGACAAACACAAACACTTCCGATGACACAAACTAAATATTGGTCCACTGTTGTTACTGAATCCAAAAAAAAGAGTAATTAGCTGTGTGAGGGTGGATAACTGTCAGGGACTGTTTTGGGTTCTTTTTTAAATGCAAAGATACATGGTGCCCTCTTACCTCTCTCTGAGGACTCTGAGCTTAGAGCAGGTCTTGCCAGCAGCTGAGTGTGCAGGCTCTCGATCTCTGCGTTCTTACTGAGCAGAAGCTGCTGAAGGCTGCTGATCTCTGCCTGCATGGAACAAACACAGATGACTCTTAACACGACATACAGTTCTTCTCAGTGTAAGTGTTGAAAGGTCAGTTTTCATGGATTTACGCTTGAGACTGAGGATAACATTTATTTAATCATTTGTTATATGTGAAAATGTATATTGCGTACATTTTCTGGTGTAAATTGTACAGGACCAACTTTTAGGCCTCCTTTGTCTGGAGCTAACAGTTTGTTTTGAAGCAAGTTACCGGCGGATCAAACCGATGGCAATGAGAAATTCAAGCTGACCTGTTTCACTGGTTCCAGTTAGGCCATAGGCTGAAGCCTGTATCGTTAAGTTTCGCTCCACTTATTGAGGGACTACTAAATGACACCTGCAAAAAAATCCTTAGGGCATTTAGAGCTCATAACCAAAAGTTCTCCAATCGCTTTGCGCCAGTATTTTTACAATAATTACTTAAAAATGTAACTATATCGGTAGCCTGATCACACCGGTAAAGTACGCTCGAATCAAGCCGCCTAGCCGTTAGCCAATCAGAGCGCGTCCTTCAGGTGCGCTCTCCCATTCAGAGGCGAGAACAGAAGAACAACAACAAACATGGCTGCTCCCGTGGAGCTGCGCGTTTCCGTTGATCAGACAAAAAACGCAAGAAAAATGAGGATTATATATGCATCACACACATATAATCGGTAGAAAAAGAACGAACACAGCCACTAACAGTTGTTCGTGGAAGAAGCTGGTCGTATGTGCCCGTAAGTGTATTGACGGAGTTGACCGCACGTTGGCGGAGGGACACAAGACAAAGAAAGGTAAATTGGTCCAAGCAGAAACTATAAATACTGGTGATTAGATAATTTGCAGACAGCATCTTTGTTTGTGGCTTATAATCAAAAGCTAAAGTAATACATTGTTTGATTAAAAAAAAATGCATGTGTAATTGTTGCCAGCCCTAGCCTTCATTATGAAGTAGGTGTATGAAGGCTATGTGTAGGGCCTCAATAATAATAAAAGGCATTATTATGAACTTGAAGTGATGATAGGCAATTAATTGATTTGTCAAATAATGGTTAGATTTTAAATTTGTCACCCAACTACCAGTTCAGTCTGGTAAAAGAGAGAAAATGTATTTGATATTATTTGTTGGCAGCTGGTTTATGATTGAACTTTAACTCTCTTTGCTAGGGAGTTTGGTTAAAGCAGCTGAAGTGAAAATGGACGAATCCATCCTCAAGGATGTACGTGGAAAAGATTGTCGCAATTGAAGTCCGGTAGCACAAACGGTGCTACAAAGAAAGTTCAATTCAATTCAATTTTATGTATATTGATACTAATGATAATGATAGGAGTTATGACAGAAATAACACTATGCAGAGTAGTAGCAGAGCAGGAACACGGAGCAGCAGGAAACTCCCAATCACAGATCCAGACTCCACAGCTCTAGGAACACCTGCAGGAAGTGATAGGAGGAGACTCCTATCACTCCTATGATTTTGATGATTCATAGTTTCTTTGTGTTTTCTATTGTAATTCTCAAGTCGTAACAACCCGAAGTGATCCTGAAAAGATTAACATCTCAAGGCTTGCTGGGTCCAACAAAAGTAATTGTTTAAAAACAGAAATGTCTTTGTGCCTTCTTTAATTCCCTGTACATTTCCATATTAAGTCTTGCCTCAGAGGAGTGAATTCACAACCCTCGGGTTAGCTGATTGAAACTATTTCATTTCTGAAAACCAATTTGAATATTTGTCCATAGTAAACTGAATTTTGTAGTAAATGTGAAAAAAAACAATCTTGTAGCTTATAAATAAGAGTTAATTTTTTAATGTTGTGATATTAATACTTTCCATTGTTCTTATAAATAATCAATAATTATGATTATTATTCTTCCTATTGTTATGAGGCATCTGAAAACTTTACCCCTTTTCAAAATCAGGTTATCATTGATATTGCCATTTGTCAATAGTCACTGAGTGGAGATTTATAAATGGTTAGAATCGGTCTTTATAATTATATATGTACATGTATAAAATTTGGGAGATATCAACTTTGGCATGCTTAGTGCTTGGTAGAATTGTTCAAAAGTAATTGAAAAATTATATGTAGGCTTATTCTCTTTCAGTTTTTCTGAAGATGATTAATTCTCTCTGTAAATATTCATAAATGTTGCAACAAACAGAAGAAGTAACTCTTGTTGGTGTGGGAATGGAGTGGTGGTGGGGGGGGGGGGGG